GATAGAACAGTGTAAGCCCAACGGCCCATATTGAATCTGGACCGATTTGACAGTCAGGACTGTATTTTGATAATATAATTTTAATATTTTTTATATAAATCCAAATAACATGAAATTTGGAGCGTCAACTCTTCTCATCAAGGCTCACCTAAAAAAAAATTTAAAAAAATAGTTCGCATAAAAAAAAAATTGACCAAAGTACAAAGTACATATTGCCATTATGCAAATTATATGACAAAAACACCCCTGAGCTAATAGACTAATTGCGTGAACTTAAAGATACATGAATACACATCTTAACTCCCTGCCTCAAACAGACTGTTGCACCAATAGAAATGACCTACAGTTCGCTCACAAGATACATGCCTCATAGTTAGTGCTTTAGTAAATACATCCGCAATTGGTCCTCAGAAGGAATGCAGGAGAAGAAGACTATTAACTAATCGATCTCTAATGGAATGAAGTGGCATGTGAGGTAGTTGATCCCCTGGTTGTTTAAAAACCATATCCCAAAGTCTTGCCCATAAGGGAAGGTTCAGTATAAACTTTGATACTCTGATACCATGCTAGGATCAGATAACTTGTGCAGAATTCTCAATAATAAAATTCTCATTAGTAAAACTAAGGCATTAATTCTATACACACACACAATTGACAGGGGCATACAACGTACATAACTGACTTTATACAAACAGTACAAACACTTGGCCCTTTAACTAATAGTCCATTTACATAAACTAAGAAGGGTGTGGTTTCCATATGGTTGCAACCTTAAACAATCCAACTAAGGTGCACCTTCAAATTTTATTGTAATATATAATTTTGATGTAAGATGTTATTAGGATTATCTCAAAATCTATTTTTATATCTAATTATAAAATTTTAAATTCCAAAAATGGTTAAAATCAAGTAGATCTATAAGCATGTGAAAATCTTGAAAATGGACGGTGTAGATAATATGTTGTAAGATGCACTATTTCTGACACTCAAAATCTTTTTATTTTTCATAGTCATACATCTCGATGTCGAGATTATCAATCACAGGGGTTTTCAACATTAAAACAACCTTTTTCAATGGATTTTTGAGGTGCATCCGCAGTTCTACATTTTAAGGTTGCAACCTTATATAAACTTTTTCCAACTAAGAATACATGAATATACATCTTAATAGATATGATGAGTTCTCAGAAGGAAATGAGAGATATAAAAAGTAATATTCGTATGTAAAGGAAATTAGAGATAAAAAGTAATATTCGTATGTAAAGGAAATTAGAGATATAAAAAGTAATATTCGTATGTAAAAGAGGACCGTTTTCCCATTTGCCCACCAACAAGTCTGACTAATGAGAAAATGAATTAATAACAAGCCTGATGAACATGACTAGAGTCATGCTGAACCAAATCATCCAAAACTTCAACTAAACGAGTTTACAAACCCTCGACACAGGATAGGCCACTAGTTACCACCTTCGGAAGAACATTTATTATAGAAATGCTATATCCAAATTACAACATGCAATAGGAATGCATACCTGGCTCAAACTGGCCCTTTTCGGTCTATAACCCGTCCTATCCTCACCCAACTGGATGTAGAAGCCATAAGGACCGTCCTTCAACAATATCTGAGAAAAATTGAATTTAAATCTTTAATGAGAGGTCACACCGAATAAATCATACAATTTGGAGCCCATGAATAAAATAATGACAGAACGTTTACTCTGTAAATGTTTAGTAAGAGGACTTCAGCATGAAGGTATCATGCATAAGTAACAGATAAAAAAGTACTAACCTTTTCATTAGAATGAGGGGTAAAACCAAGCACTTTTGGCTTGTAGCACTCATCTGGTTTCTCATTTTCAAGACCGTCATCCTCTTCACTGAATATCATTCTAGCAATGTACCTATATCCAGCATCATTAGCTTCTCGTTAAGGGAAGACATATGTTTAGTGACATATTCCTTTCAAGCAACAGGCAATACCACTCATCATATATTCCGGAAAACAAAAAGATACAATAAAAAATGGTAAAAACAGTTGTAATACATTAAATTTTTCGAGATAAAAAAATTTGCTTGTCCAATGGAACAAGAACAGCAAGTAAGACTCCAGAAATACACAATACAAAGGTTTCTAACAGTTCACTTTAAGCAAGATATGCATATCTTTTTGTTTATAATAGATTGCATTTAGTCAAAATGGCATACATCTAGTTGCACTCAATGCAAATGAAAAGAGATAAGCAATTCAAAAAAATAAGAAACAAGAAACAATAAGTACTAGGTATGCAATTATGTAAATTGAGGAGTTTAATATATGTCATGAAAGGGTGGTGTAAAGGCCAAATATCACTAAATAACCACTCTTTCTCATCAGTAGTTGAAGATAGTAGAGGAAAAAGGGAATAATTGCAGTAAGTTATTACATCAGTAAAATAAGTTTTTCATCTAAACTCAAATGTCCTCTATGGAAGTTTTGGTTTGTCACTCACGAGCATTTTGGATGTTGATCACAACCGATAAAATAGCCCGCCCCATGCTTGCTTACTTTAAAGATCAACCGGCCAGCAAAACAACTGTACATAGTTTGAGCTTTGATTAGCAATAGATCAAAATCTTTGCCAACTCGTTGAAGTCATTGCAACAAAATTGCAACAAAATTCTATCAACATTTATAGCAACAAAATAAATGCATGAATCTTTTATTCAAGGTTCCAGAAGAAACTTATCACAAACATAAGCATTATTGCTAAGGAACAACATAAAAGAAGATCCCCAAATTGCTTTTCCCCAGAAAACCATTTTAAAATTTAGACACCACAGCAACACGGGCAAGTTGGCACTTACGTTATCAATTTCACAAAGCATCACAAACCTACCGATGATAAACCATCTAGAAAATTATGTCTCCAAAATCCAATTCATCGTATGTGTCCAGTAAACAAACATAATAAAAGCAAATCCAGGACATAACTGATTCATTATGCAATAATACATATCTATAGCAGGGATTAAACAAACATAACAAAAAAGAATCTGTGACAACTGATTCGTTATGCAATAATACTTAAATTTAAGTTCCATGGATCTGGTCATCCTGTTTTGTCTCCAATGGAGACGGTAGAAGGGATCAGAGCAAGTCATCATCATCAAAGCCTTTTCCAAACTATTTGGGATCGGTGACACGAATCATGATCCGTCATTCTGCTCTATCAAGGGCCATAGCCTCAGTGAGGCCATAATTCGCCATGTCTTTTCTCACTACTTATAACCATGTCCTTTTAGGCCTACCAATTGAACCAACTCGTACCTCCTAATAGGCGTCGTACCGGGTCTACGCTGCATATGGCCAGCCCACCTAAATCTACTTTCACTCATCTTATCACATATTGGAGCCACACATAAGTTCTCCCGAATGTTCAAATCTAGGAGACCCTCTAAGTTTCCCATTTGATTTTCAAATATTGCTAGTGAAAAGGTTATCTTAGAACATAGAGAACTACTATGCATGATGAAAATGCCCACAGCTATTACAGAATAAATAAATTTTTTTTATGTTTTTTTTCTTAAATTTGAACCATTTCTCGATTTGTGTGTCATCCTTGCGCAGGGACCATGCTAATCTTCGCAATAGTACAAAATAAATATTGACAATAGAACATGAAAAACTAGAATTTACTCTCCAGAAGATTTCCATATGCATAATTACAGAAGCCATGAGAACACAACAAACACATTTATTTTAATTGTGGAAATTAAGTTACAATAACCCATTTATTTTAATTGTGGAAATTAAGTTATAATATTTGGAACTTATAAAGCTTCCCAAAAATATTCACATGCAATTGGCTTGTAACTGATTGTAAATTTTGCAATCTAAAAGTTAAGAGAACTAAAGCAGGAAAAAACCAAACAGAAACAGAGTTGCATAAGTATGAAAAGCTTCCAATGATATTTACAAATCACCAAAGAGAAACGAGAACTGTACTGTACAGAAGAATATTTATATTTGACATTGAACATCCGTTCATTAGTACCTGGGACAGGTCCTGTTATTATCAGGAAGGGAAGAGAACAATATATTCTCAAATGTTTCCTCCATCATTCTCTCCACCTGAACCACAAACATAAAATTCAAAATATTTGTTAGACTAACACCTACTCAGCAACCACCAAATAGTGGGAGGTGAGAGAACAATGAAATTGAAACATATTTAAAAAGAATAAATAACAATGAGACAGCATGAATTGATCTCCAGGTACCAATCTCCTGTTACAACAAGAAACAGCACAAACCTGATGAACAGTTACATTTCCAACACGGTCACAATAAGAGCTGAAACGAGTCCAATAATCTTTAAGAAGGCCCCTCCATTCAGTCAGGCCGGCAGAGACATTATCCAACTGATGAAAACAAAAAGAGTCAGGAGAGGGACAATAATTTTTATAAACAAGAGTGAATATCTAAATATATTCTGGAACTCGTGGAAAACAAATGTTTCTGAGCTTTATTACCCCGACACAAGCAATTACAAACATTACCAGATAGTCGATTAATATCCAAAGAAATGTATGAAACACAGTCATACACCATACTATAAAGATGAGTTGCAATTTGCTCATGGTCATGGAAGTGTGCATGTGCATCTTTAATGTTTGAGCACGGGATTGAATGGTAAGGTGTTGATGATTGCAACACTATGTCCCAAGTTCAAATAACTAGGCTAAAATAACCATACCAGGGGCTCCCCCCACCACCTGGGAAAAAGTCCCAAAAAAAAAAAAGAAAAAAAGAAAAAAAAAAGATTATTTCCGTATATACCTAGGTATATATATGTGTGCAATTTGCAAATGTACCCATCACGGTTATTGGAGAATAAGAATATTTTCGTCTGGATGCTGAATACCACACAAAAGCACATGTGTCATCCTCATCTCATGACACATTGATACACAAACATAAGAGGGCACTGAGGTCATCCAAAGTAGCACGCATGTCTACATGAAATGCACTGGCAATTGGGTGCCATTAGGATGAAATTCAAATAAAGTTGTGAACGATTCCTTTCTTACAGTTAAATCATGGCATTACCTCAGTTTCCATATCAGCTGTGAAACTGTAATCAGTGACCTCCGAGAAGTAGTGACATAGGAAAGCTGAAACCTAGATCACATAAGGGGAAGAAAAAGCAGAGTCAAATAGCGTGAATCGGTACTAAAGAGGGTGATGAGAAAAGGAAGTAAACCAGCATAAGCAACTGAAAGATGAGGAAAGGCAAAATGAAAGCATCTACTTAAGAGTTTTGAGCATGAATGAAAAGAAAAGACAACATATTGCATCAGGACTTTGGCAGCAACAGAAAACTTAAGGCATCAAGCATGTGCAAATAGAAGGATATCATGCACATACACTAACAAAGTACTTTAACAATCAGTCCAACAGACACTGTTCAGCATTTAGCAGAAAGCACTGGGGGGGGGGGGGTTTAACTTCTTGCAGTCCATGAAAAGATTCCAACATTCAGTTTCTATTTATGACAGACTTACAAAGAGTCGCATTAGCAGCATAGCAACCTGTTGAAGTACTTTGAGAGAAACACAAAAGGAGTGCTCAGATAAATAAAGGCAGACAAAATTCCATAACGTAAAAGGCATGAAAAAGGAGAGGACGAAACATCAAACTTATCACAGGTACATGAATAGCCATTGGCATCAACCCCTAATTATAAGAGAAGTCATATTCAATCAGAAATGCAGTAGGTAAGACAAAACAGAATAAATGAGGAAAGAACATCATTTACCTCTCAAAGAAAGAAAGCACCTCCATGATGGTTATCACAGCCCTCCCACCATCCAATCACATTCATTCAGATTCTCAGCAATACTAGGAAATCATATCCTCTAAACGGCAAATAACAAACATGACAAAACAACCATATGATAACCACAAGTCCGATTAGAATTTGCCGATACAAAAATTGGTGAACTCCTGCCAACTTTCACCAGTCCAACTGCTCCACAAATGGCTCCAAGACAACTTCAGAGCACCCATGAAAGCAAAGCTCAAATGGTCTAAAAGACGGCAGCTAGCTTTAGAACACCCATAAACATTAAGCATCAGAGCACCGAAATAAGGCGGCATCCATGCATCCACATTATTGCCTAATACTGGACAACTAATATGACCTACCATCACCTTGCATCCCTCCCCAAGCACCACAATCCTTACATCCAATAACCATAGATGTTCAACCAGAAAAGTATAAAACAAAAGAACCACTGAAGTATATTCTCGTTTCTCTTTTCTCTACACCTAAGCAAGGACTTGAAAGTTGGAATCCCATGTGCAAGTAAGATAAAACAAAAAGGTAACCCAGGTATGATGTGCAATGCATCAGCCTCTAACCCCAAAATGGAGTCAAACCCAGTAACCATTTCCATCCTATCATACAAATGAGCCACGGTGATTCAGCACTCCTCCAGTTCATTTCCATTTCTCTAGAGAAACTAAGGTCACGTTTAGATGCATATCTCAAGATATTCCTTAATTCATCTAAAAGTCTTCCAATTTACGCATTTGATGGAGATACCGAGTTTAACCTAACCACTTCTATCAGTCCCATTGCTAGCCTGATTGGGGATTCCCAAAGAGCTAGAGGATCAGCAAATGTTTCTCGATAAATGGGATTCCCCTCTACCCTATCTGATCTGAAACCTCCAAACCACGTTGCTGAAAACTCACAGATAATTCCAGTCTTCACCTCGCTAGTTCATCACCGTCACAGTTCAGTTCTAGAAAGCCTGAAAATGGAAATTAATTTATTTACATCAATTTCGGAGTTTAATGTTTACCCAAATTGACCTCCTTGATACTTTTTTTTTTTGATGATTAACCTTCTTTATACATTCTAGGATTACTATTTTTTATCACACTAACAGCCACCTAACAGCAAATGCAATCCAAGGAGAGCACCTCCTGCCTCTCCACCCAGCTAATCTGAAATTATTCTCTCATTATCAGTATGACAGTGTTGCTCTTGAACCTCATAAAAATGCTTCCATCATTACAAGATAACAATCCGCCACTGGTTTAGCAGGGCTCCACTTCATTTTTGTTATCTTGACCAGTGGAATATTATGAGTCATCTCTATTTTTTAATGTTATATCCATTTTTAAAAGTATACTCCTTAATGTCTATTTTTAAATTCTTCAAATTTCAAATGTCTAAATTTTAGGCATTCCTGGGGAAAATCTTTTCAAGTAAACAAGTATGATCGTCCAATAAGCCAATCTGAAATCCTTAGATTGCAATGATTCCTAAACAGGCTTAGTATTAGGATGATACATCCAAGGAGCATCCAAAGTAACATTCAAACATACTTCAAGTGCACAGATTCCTGCCGTTGTCCTCATTAAGTCACTCTGTGAATGACTAATTTGAAATCAAATTGATCATTAAGTCACTCTACCATTCTCCACCAATCTAGAATCAAAATGTAAAGAGCTTTGATCTTGTTCAATTGATTATTTCATCATCCTAATCTGAAAGAGATCTAGAACTGTCCTGCTATACATGGGAATTGTATGTCAACTCCCCAAAACAGATTTCAACAATCATTACTAAAGAAAATGCCATATGGTCCTCCAGACAGAAGAGATATACACAGCATTGAGGAAAATAAAAATCAACAAGGAAAAATGATGATATTATTTCAAATAATCAAGCCTGAAATATTAAACCTTGCACAGAAAAGTCTCAAGCAGATTGCTTAGATAACAAGAGCACACAGATAAATCTCATCAGAAGTAGTAAAGGAAAATGCACAATGACGGGGAAATGAGCAACATGAAGAAGAGACGGGCTTGTCAGAACAGTGAGGAGATGTTGCCAAAGCAAAATCAGCCCATACCATACGCCCACGGAACTCCGGAAACATCCGACGGCTTTTTATTGTAACATAATTTCTGTCCTGAATTGTGCAATGCCAAAAAGATTAAGAGGAAAATTAATGACTCTCTTTCAAGCTATTATGAAGAATATATAAGAAAATAAATAAGAGATAGACAGCCATAACAAATCTCTTTGGTAAGGACAATAAACAGTCAAAAAGAATGAAACGCCAATAAAATCCATCATAGAATCATATAATAATGACATCATAATAGGATTTCAAGTAAAAAGACATATTAAGAAAAATAAGGAGAGGGAAGTATCAAGAAAGCGAGATATTCTATCAGCATGATCTACACTTATTTTCCTTCCCATCTGTCAGCATAATAAAGGATAAGCATTCAAAAACGTCATCCAAAGACTCATGATTCTCAAGAAGTCCATCTCAAGACACAAAAATATCCTTGCCAAAACACAAATAAATGCCATTTTTCTTTTTGCACTAGTCTAAATATATTCTGACTTTTCTTATAAGAAATTTTCGAAGACTTCTGCACTTTTTGACTCATTAAGTCTAAACACGAAGCACCAAGAAATGAAGGAAGAGAGAAAGGAAAAGAAGAAATGCTGGGATAATTTTCAAGACAAATCATCATCATCCTCAAAGCCTTTTCCCAACTAGTTGGGAGGGACTTTTCCCAACTAATTTTCAAGAGAAATAACACCTAATATGTATTAAGGTAGAAGATGACCTTTTTGTGAGGAGAGATTTTTTCCTTATTCAGTAATAACAAAAGATTACCGTAAACAATAAAAACAATGGGTGGAGAATACTTTATCATTCATGGGGCAGTTGGGATTTGTGGGCATTCAAGGCCATGAAAGCATGTAAATACAATAAATTATAGTGAATTATGCGCTTTAATGGGAGTATATTGTGGTTGACTGACCAAAGGTAGGACGGTTTATGACCCAAATCATATCCAAAACCCTTAACCCTGGGCATGTAGCACTAGCATTGAGGGCTTATAGAGAGGGTCATCCATTATTGAGGTTAAGGACATTTATAGGCCAAGCGAGCTGTGTGATCTCTTGTGTGCAGATGTAGGCTTGTGAGAGCGAGAGTCAAATCCTCAACAAAACTTCTGCACGACATTGTACATATGAGAACAATATTTTTGGAAGCAACCCAATATAGAGGGACACGTGTACATGCGCATAGAAAGCCATAGTGATAATGTGCATTTTTACTTGCTCTTAAGGGGAGAACTTGTAATCCACATACTAGGAGTTCCACTATTTATTGGTCAGCTTTAACGGGCCAATCATGAGCCTCTGCCCTTAACTGTGGGTCATGGGTGTCATTGGGTTGGTTTGATAAGACAGTTGTGGTTCATGGACCCTACCATCCTAGCATGGGTGGAGTGTCCTGAAAGTCACTGTTTTCGACCTATTCTATACCAATCAGTAGTGTTTCCATGTGTTCTAGATTTTTGCAGAACTCCAAAAATATTGTTTTCTACTAATTTTATTGTTTTGTCATTTATGGATATTTTTCAAAATTCTAAAATTGTCTTTCAATGCATAAAAACCCCTAATGGGCATTTTTGTAATTTTTTAAATAAGAGGATATTTTAGAAATTGTTCTAAATAGGTGGGGATACGTGTGAGGCCAACGTGGGCCACATGCACCACTAAATGGAACGCCCCATTTAAATTTATTTGGAAAGTTATCTATTTATGAAAATATTCTTGTGATAATTATCTTGAAAATAAATTTTGAGTGAAAATTATTTTATTAGATGGATCTAGATAATCTTGACCATGTGTTTCTAAAATTTTTTACTATCCCTTTGTGAGAGAAAAGAAATTCTAGACAATTAAGGAAGATACAGATTTGACTGGTCAAAATCTAGATCGATTAGAAGCGGATATGGGTCAAGTCTCAAGAGATAAGGTTCCTAAATATTGACTCTAGATCAGTGTTTCAAAAAGCACTAGGCCCTAGAAGTCTAAGCTGTTCTACCCTTTTCTATCTTTTTGTGCTTCCCTGAGCTCAAATATTGTATAATCTCCTCCCTGGTAGCCTCAGGAACTTTTTTCACGAGGCAACATCCCCTTTAATACCGACAACGTGTTTTTTAAACAGGTAAATGCCCCCATTAGTATCATTTCCACAATAATTACATTTAATACGATTTTTGTCATTCAGATTCAAGTTATAACCATACTTCCAACCCGGATCACCACTTCTAGAAGAAATTGGAGAAGATATTTCCATAAAACAAGGCTCATTTTCATCCTTTTCTGGTTCTTTTAAATTAAAAAATTGTCTAATCTCATCCCGAATAGCTTCAGGAACCATTTTACAATAAGCAACATCCCCTTTAATACCGGTAAGGTGTTTCTTGAATCGGTTAATACCCCTATTGGTATCTTTTTCACAAAAATTAAACCTTATACAATTTTTAGCGTTCGGTTTTGGGTTATAACCACACTTCCAACCCGGATCACTTCTTCTAGAAGAACCAGAAATAAATCTATTCAAATGATAAGGATTGTGTTTCTGTTTTTGTTTTACAGAACTTATATATTGTTTAATCTCCTCTCTGATAGCTTCAGGGACATTTTTACAAGGGGCAACATCTCCCTTAATACCCGCAAGATGTTTCTTAAACCGGTGTATGCCCCCTTTTGTATTTTTTTCACAAATGCAATTTTTGTCATTTGGATTCGGGTTATATCCATATTTCCAACCCGGATCTCCACTTCGATTAGATCCTAAAGAAGACATCTAAAAATAAAACAAGCAATTTAAAAAATAAAGTATTTCACTTGCTTTGATTGCTCAAACTCTAAACTCCCACCTCTGAGATGTTTTCTGGTGCTAAAACGATAAAAAACACTATCTAATAGGATTAAAAAACTCCAAAACTAAATCTAATCTACTTGGATGGTGCTTGGATCCATTTTCCATAACTTTGATAAATACTTCGATCCAATAAAAATCACAAAATTTAATTTTTTTGAGGTTTATTTCTCTCTAAAATGGGTTCTTGTGGGTTTAGGTTTCAAATAAACCTAAAGCCCATCCTTAAAAGCCTTTATGTTTAAAGGGAGCAGGCCATGGGCGGCCCGCCCAGGGCTGGGCGCCTGCCTAGGCGGGTTCCATACAGCCTAGGTGGCAGCCCGGGGACTGCCGCCTAGGCCTGAGCGATGCACCCAGGCTTGAGCGATGCGCCCAGGCCTTTTGGACCACCTAGGTGGCCGCTTAGGCACAGGGCGGTCCGCTTTTTTGAACAATGCTCTAGATCATGATGGCTGATCTTAGAGATGGATGGATCAAATTGTTTCTCTCTCATCTCTCTCTCTCTTTATAGCTCCTCTTTCTTTTCTAAAAAAGGTGGCACGTCACCCCCCATAGGTGTCTAGGGTAGCACACACCTCAGAAGAGATAGGGAAGGTGCCATCTTGTGGCATGCCCCAGGTGAAGACAAGATGTTTTTTTTTTTTTTTTGAAACCCTAATTGTGACCCATGCTCTCAACCCCATAGTTTCTAGATAATGGTGTCGCTAAGGTGCTTCCCCGGTTCATATTGGTGGATTTAGCAGGATCCATAATAAGGTGTGCCATTGGTGACGATTGATGTGTGGCATGCGAAGCTCTAACGGGCTAACCCTAGGAAAAAGTCTAATTCAGCTCGAATAAAAGTTTATTTTGACAATATAATTCAAAGATCATAGATTGTTGTAGGTATATGTTTATTGTATTGTGGCATCTGTAAGAGAATTTCCAGCAAGAAAGAAACGAAAGAAAATTCTTTGAATTTATAGCCAAGAATTCTACATAGCCATACCTTTCAGGGCAGTCAATAATAGAATCAAATATAACTTAAGCAAGTACCTGCAACACTTTCAATATAGATGCATATGTAGAAGGTCTTCCAATCCCAAGTTCCTCCAATTTTTTAACCTTCAGTCTCAAGAAAACGAAAATCACCAGGATTAGTTCCAAAAATCCATCAGAGCAACTCAAATCTTGGAGTTTATTCATGTGTACAAAATGTAACCGCAGGAATGTTGTCAAACATGCAAAACAATGCCTACAAAACACAGGAATTACAGTAAAAAAAATGAAAACAAAAGGAAAACATCATACCAAGGATCCTTCAGAATATCTTGGGGGTGCTTCTGTGAAGTGTTGTGTGGTCTCGACATTAGCAATTTGCACCAAATCCCCTGGCTATATACAAGCTAAAAATTAAATATAAAAGTGAAACAGTCTCTAAAATCAAGATATTGACATTAAGAGAAGTTAATAAGACAAAAGAAAAGTAAAATGATAATAGAAAGAAAAGAATGGCGTATTATAATCATCTTTCCGCAACAAATCCATGCATAATTTCACAATACAATTGATAAAATCAAATGGCGTAAGACATATGATCAACAAAGCCAAACATTATAAACAAAGCGCACATAAAGATTTTAACGGTGAATCGGAACTACCTTGAGCACAGAAAGAAGTTCAAAATCTTCATTCCTAGTTTTCCCTTCATCCTCATCATGCCCAATATCTGCAGCTTCACTGTCCTAGAAAATTCAGGAGAAAAGGCATGTCTAATTAATTTTACAGAGACAATTCTAACATTTCAACCTACTTCAGTAATTTAATGATATAGAATGACATCTACAGGAAAGTAAATCTGCAACCTTTGTATATTATTCTATTTAGATCTGCATGTACAAATACAACTTGTCAAATATACAATTAATCCACCTACCACAATCATGATAATCAGAATGCATTTCCAGTTCTTCAACCAGGAGTTCAAAGCTAGAGCATGCTCAGCTGAATGGGCGGTGCCATATGAGACAAGTACAAGAATGCAATGCATCAAAATCCAACAAGGACACAAGAGTTAAAATGCCAACCCCATAATTGGCCTTGCAGAAAAAATATTCTCAGGCATCATTTACACAAGGGAGTAGGTGCAATTTCAAGTCCCACTTAGTACTTTCATAGTGACATTTCAACAAGAAATATTTAGATGTGTCTGTTTCTGAAGTGTCAACCACCAGTGCCATGTCCTAGGTGAGGCAAAATACGCCAAAACCATAGGCACGCATGTCCAAGTTGTATAGACGGCCCCCTATTTATCAACAGATGCAACATCATGGCAGTACATGGATAAAAAATTCCTCAAACCACAAGTTCTTCACTTGCAAAAGAAAGTAATTTCTTCACATAATTAAAGGGAGAGAGTAAGCCATGAAATTCAGCTAGTTTGATCTGCATACAGGTTACTATTTTCATACACTCAATGCAGTCTTAATTCCAGCTTAGAGCTAGAGAGATATCTGCATACACTTTTGTAGTCTTAATTGCAAAGAGACTTATTTGTCATTTCATCTTTCTATAGCCATTTATTTATTCTTTCCTTCACCCTCAAGGGTAATTTAGTCATTTGTTTCCTATTGTACATATATATGTTGTTGAGCAAATGTAGAAGTGTGGAGATTCGTGTGAATTGGTGTCTTCTCTCTCTCCCGCTCTAGGGTTTTCAAGTTTCACAGGGTATCAGAGCCATTGAAGGGTTTCCGTCACTCACTAATCATCAGCAACATCCGTGAATACATCTTTCCTAGGCGCCTCTGTTACTGGGTGGGCTCCTACGCTGGGGGGTCCCCCAAAATGCATAGGTGCCCCGCCTACGCTGTTTTGAAGTTGGAACTTTGTTAGTTTGCAAAAAGAGCCAGACGCGGTGCCATGCTCTTAGTGCTACAATACGCACTTTTGTTATACTTATTATTGGATGATCAGGCCTGTACGTAACTTTCATAATGTGAATGAGGCCTGGGCATGACAGATCCAAGCCTTTTGGGGCCTGGACAGCATCTGGATCATGGCCCGTGGGTCATGGGATGGGCCTGGGTCGACCTCCCCCTGGCAGACCCTCCCACTTGCAACCTTCCTTTAGAAATGTCAGGAAATTTATTGGTAGTAGAACATGTACAACCACCACTTCCCAAGAAATATTCAATATTGCATGGAAAGCAAAGGGAGAAGAAATATAAAATATTCCCCTGTAGAAAACATTTCACTTTGAGAATCTGAAAAATATAACCATTTTATCTTATCATCAAATTTTTAGCTTGACATCACTGACATGCTTGCAACCCATGTCAATGTCCAGTCTGCACTGCCAGATAAGTGTATGTGCAAGTGATTTTGGTGTGGGAGCAGGAGGCCATAGATTAAGAATCACCAAGAAAGCATTGGCATCTAGAGCAGCATTTCTACCTCAATATAAGGCTCGAGAAACTAACAAGTGGTCTGTAATGTATAATGCACATTTAATACTTTATGATACCCACAACCCACAAAGGCACAATTGTGGATGTCCACAATCAGTGTTGCATATAATAGGGTTACATGTGGTAAAGATAGTATTCATCCAAACACGTTAAAAAAATGTTTGGAGGGCATAGAATACGCACAAATTGGGCCAACCAGATTAAGGACTTAGAATTTAACATGTATTCAAGGTCTCCCATGGATCTAGTCAAACAACTAGTACATATTCTATGCCATAAGACATACATCTACTAAGGAAATACCAATCAAAAGATTAATAAAGAATATGTGCTCAAGAAGTAAAAATATATGGAAAACATATGAATACATACTGCTAAAAGACATAAAGGTAATATTGGTCAAAAATTAAATCGGAATATGTGACTCAAGTAGAACAAATATACAAGCATGCACATATAGATGCACACACACAAAGTTTTATTAGAAAACAAAATGGCAAACAGTAGCATTCAGAAAGTATCACATAATTAGGAAGTCTCAAGCATCACATGTCTAGGAAGTCCCATTGCATACTAATAGGGAAATATGAGCAAATCAAGACCTTCCAAAATAAAACGACATGACAATTAGCTGGTTGGAAATAAAGTTAGCACCTTATAAACAACTTTATGTCCAAGCAAAGCAACTTTAGAACTGCTGGATCGAAGTACAGTGTCTCCTCCCATACTTTTGAGATCAACTTGTACCTGAAATCAAGCATTGCGAAATTTCAATAACCAATGTAAAGATAAAGGAAGCATGATTATTATGACACTTGTAGTACATAAACACACAATAAGACCCCCCAAGTCCAAACATAGATTATCATCATCTAAGGCTTATCCAAATTATTTGGGGTCAGCTTCATGATAAGATGTGGCAAAGTTTTACTTTGGCCGCTTACCTAACGCAACCCACCTCCTTTACCCCGGCTTGAGACATTCACCCTTATTAGACCACAAGTCCAAACATAGATACCACCCAAAAAAGTCCAAAAATAGATATTTACAGAGAAAATTAGTCAAAGAATAAAGAGACAAAACCCTACAACTAATGAAGTTATAATAAACAGTAATAAGAATCAACTAAGAATCATGAACTGTGTTGAGTTATCAACAAAGAACATCACAGGCTACCTGGATTTCACCCATGTACCTGACACATGCCTCCCAAAGCCCAGGCTTTCACACCATAACACAAAACTCTGATTAATTTGCAAAGCTTTCATAAATTTCAGAAAGGGACTCATTATGGCTAGAGAAAATCAAATATTTTCACAACATCAGATCATAGAATCCATGATTATACTATGATGCTTGCTGATTTCCTTGGCATCTATTTTCCTTTAGGATCAGCACTTGAAACTTTCAAATACATATCCAAAGTTTCGAAGAGAATATATGAATCTAAGGTCACTTTATAAGAACAATAAATACTGACCAGCACAAAATCCATCCAAAGTCCAAAATTTTAGAGTACCAAGGACAATATACAACTTGATATAAAGTAATTGCATACCCTATCAAAAATTGTTGGTTCCATTTGGCATGCCATTGTTTGGCACCAAATAAGAGTGTACAGCTTATGTGAATCCTCGTCAAGAACCCCTAGCAGCTTTGCTGTGAACAAAATAAAAGAGTGTTAACAGCTGTTACAGACAAAACCCTAATTACAAAGAGACCAGACAGAGGAATTAGCATCAATTTCAAGCTAAGCAGCCCAAGTAGCTAAATTCTGAAAACTATCTGTATGATGCACAAAAGTATAGTATCCTACATGGTAAACATAGAATGTCAGTGGGCCTGATAGCTTCATGGGCCTCTTGGGCATTCTTCACCTTCTTGTAGTTCTTTTGAGTGCTTTTTGATACAAAATCTTGTCCATACCTGTTTCACAAATTCAAGAGGTAGAAATTAGAGCCATGACATAAACAGCATGCAAAACATATATAAGCACACAGACACACACACAAACAAAGTGTTTGGGTTTGACCAATCGGAGAACACACACCCGAAAAGAGTGAAATTTAATTTTTTCTCCCAAGTCATCCATAGATATAAAACAACACAGAAAGATGAATTTCTCTTTTCTCTTCTCTCTCTTTTTTTTCCGAAAAAAAGAAAGATGAATTTCTCTTTTCTCTTAAGTTTACTTCATTCATGGTATCCATTACAGTGTGTAGTGTCTTCAGACCACAAGATGAATTTCCCTTTTCCCATTCATTCTGCCCCTTCTCTTTCTCTGCCTCCCACTTTGTTCAATACGTCACAATTTGTCTACTCTTAGCCTATAAGTAGTTAATTGTCAAGAAAAATGTCTTGCAACTGTCCAAAAAAAAAAGGAAAATGTCTTGCAACTGGACTCTATAACCAAACATGGCTCCATCCCGTCCTTCCTCCTCTTACCTCCCCAGGAGCTGGGATGAGGTGTATGCTCTCTAACCCAGACCTTCTCCCCCATCCTCTCACTCTGCGGTTCCTCCCTCCATTCCTTCATTGAGCCCCATATTCAAGGTACCTTTTTCTAAGGTGGTGGTTGCTGGTGAGAAACCTACGCCACCTTCCTCTCCCCCTTTTCCTTCTAACCCTAAGCCCAGGAAACGTCTTCACGCTCCTTCCTTCACCCCAATGTTTGTTGAGGTTCCATCGAAACTGATCCTTTCTTCCAAGCAAAGGCTCCACTCTTCTCTGGTGGGAACCTTCTGCCCTATGCGGCAAGACATCAGGGGGATCGAAAATGTGGTGCAAACCCACTGGGGGTTACCCGATCTGACTTGCAGGCTTCTCTCCAAAGGTTGGATCCTTTTCTCCTTCCCCTTTCCTCCGCTTCATCTCTAGCCCTCCAAAACCCTTCCTCTTGCTCCTTCAAAGGTGCTCGTTGTGCTCTGAGGCCTTGGTCTCCCCTTGAGGGGTCTTTCAGGCAACAGCGAGTTTGGTTAACCTTCCGCCACATTCCTCTCCACGCGTGGTCCCCCTTTGTTTTTCGACGCCTGGCCGCTGTGTGTGGATCCCTTATCCAAATCCATTGGATCTCTCTCGAAACGCTCCCCCTGGGGTCGATGAGGGTCCTCATTGAGCTTTTGTATCCTCTCCTTATTCTTAAGGTCCTGTGGCTTTGAGCGGAGAACCTCTTCTTTCCCATCTCTCTCTTGGTCCTTCGCCTCTCCACCTTCCCCTGCTTTTCTCCACAACTCCTCCCCTGCAAAGGTTTCACCTGCCTTACAGGACTCGTGGTCTTTATTGGCCAAGAAATGTCGACAATAAAAGAGGCGGAGCTGCCCCCCGGACAAGGCATCTCGACGAAAGCTCAGCCGTAATCCCCCTCCTCCCGACCGATCTTCTCCTGACCCGAGGGGTTAGGGATCGATCGATCAAGCCTTGTTCCCAGTTTTGGGCCCAGACGGTTCGCAGGTGAAGACCCGACGGCCTTTGACTCACCGTGCGGGTAAAGAACTTTGGGTTCCACCGGGCTTCTCAACCGACCCAAGGCCTTCATTTTCAAATTTCGCCACCTCCTCTTCACCCCACGCTAGGTGTCCCTCTTTGATCACCCCTTTGGATGCGTGCCCCCCACCGCTCCGACGTTGGCCGCGTGCCCTTCCCACGAAGCGCGTCAACTCCCTGCACCCCAGCCTTTGGACACGTGTCCCCCCCGGCTGTTTGCAGCTGCCTTGGAGGCCCCCCCCACCTTCTACCCTCCGCCACACGTCGCCCATCCCTTCACCTGCCTCCCACCTGCCAAACGCGTGCCCAACCCAGTCTTCCTCCTTAGCTGCTTCTTCATTGTTCCTTCTTGGCCACATGTCGCTCATCGTGGCCCCCCCACCTACCTCCTCCCTTGCTGCTGTGCAACAGGTCCCGCCCCTTTTTGACCCCTCAGGTTCCGAGCCAATTGGTGGCGGCTCCCCCAGCAACGCGTCACCCCCCTGCCCCCTCCTCTCACCTCGCGTCGTTGGCATCCCTCCTTCCCCTGTACCCCCGCTGCTTCAACCGTCCTCATTGTTCTCTTCCCTCCTCGAGTGACTACACGTGACAAGCCCTTTTCCCCCCGTCCATCCTTTCTTTCTTTCCCTCCCCTCCTTTCTCCAACCCTTGCAGGACCACCCGCTTCTTTGTCCACCTGCTATCCCCCTTTACTCCCTTCAGGCCCCTCGGTCGAGCCTTCCCCTACCGCCCCTCTTCTTCCTGTTGAACCTTTGTCCTTTCTCCCCCACGGTGTCTTCCCGTCTTGGGATACGTGACTATCATCTCAGGGGTCTGTCCTTACCAGTCTCGGACCACCTTTTCTGTCCCCCTCTTCCCTTTTCCCGCACCCTGTTACTTGCCCCATTTTGGTGGCTTACCCTCTTGTTTCTCCCTACTGTTCCCTCTCTGCTCTTCCCTCCCTCTCTTGCCGTCGTTCCGGCCCCTCCCCTTCTTCCCACTCAGCTCTCTCGAAACCTTCTCCTCTGCATCCCCCTTCGCTTCCATGGACCCCTCCGTCCCCTTGTGTATCATGATTTTGTTGAAGTCTACCCTGAGATCTTTCCCCCTCAAGGTACCCGCCCAGTTGTAGTTAAAACTCCAAGGGTTCACCCGTGTCACCACTGCTTGGACCCTTTCTGCATATCTCACCATGTCACTACGATCTACCACCATCTGGAGTTCCTTCGTCCAAAGGCCCTGCTTTCTTCCCCTCCCCCCCCCTTTCTCATCTTTTCCCCTCCCTCTTGCACCTTCACCTTTCCCTCCCTCTTCCCCCTGTCAAAGACAAGAGCTCGCCTTACAAGTTTCGTCCCCCTCCATCCAGATGGCTCTAAAACAAAGTCCCCCTCCTCTCGGGTTCACTCCCTTCCCACTGAGCACGCTTCACCCCCTTCCCTCTCGATCTCTATCCCGTGCTTTCCCCCTCTTTGCCCCAGATGCTCGATCCAGAGACGACTCAACTCACGATGCCCATCTCGTCCTGTGTGGCTGACGGGGTGGTCGACAGGGATGGCCGTGACATTGCAGCTGCGGACTTCTCCAAGCCCCTCTCTCCCCTCGGTGACTCTGGCAGGCGAGGGGGTCGACGGGGAGGACCAAGAAGACCAGAGAATGATCGACATGTACAAGGTTATGGGGTTACAACCACAGGCCCATGGGAGTTCAGTGAGCTCCTTGGCCCTCGCCAATCCTCGTCTTTTGTCAGAGGTGGATTTCAAAGGGAAGAGAGAAATCCTCAATCTTTTCTCCTCCCTCGCGCCTACAATCCCCTACCCCTCTTTGATAGGGCCACCCCTTCAAGTTTGCCCTTTGAGGCGATCCCCCAAGATTGCCTCCCTCCCTTCCCAATCTTCTTCCTCATGAAGCTAGTTTCCTGGAACATCAGAGGCCTAGGTCAGCCTAAGAAAAAGTCGGCCCTCAAAGACCTCTCTTCCAAATATTGTCCTTCTGTCCTAGCCATTTTGGAAACAAAGAACCTTGACCCCACTCTACTCCAAGTGCGCCAGGTATGGGGTAGACGTCCTTGCCAATGGGTAGCCCTACCCGCGAATGGAGCAACAGGAGGCATCTGGGTCCTCTAGGACCCTATGGAATATGTGCTTTCCTCCTCTTTTACAGGGGAGTTTTCGGTTACCATGATGCTCAACATAGCAACGAATGGCTTACCTTGGAAGTTTACAGCGGTCTACGGGCCTTGCACGTCATCATCTAGACTGTGTCTTTGGTCCGTACTCGACCAAGTAGCTGCTCTACCTAACCCTATCTGGTGTCTGGCCAGTGATTTTAACATTAACCGATGGTCCCATGAACGCAATGCCAATACCCACATTTCCCAAGGTATGATCCAATTTTTCATATTTCATTTCCCAGAATTGTCTCCTCGACATTCCCCTCCTTGAGCAATGTTTCACATGGTCGAGTCTTTCATCCCTTCCATCTCTTTCTAAACTGGACAGATTCCTTTTCTCAGTCGAGTGGGAGGAAACTTTCCCAAGTTCTCATGCGGTTGCCCTACCCAAACCTGTGTCCCACCACTGCCCAATCCTCTTGTCCACCGTTTCTTCCGTCAGAGGCCTGAAATCCTTTAGATTCGAACTGGTGTGGCTGGAAGAGAAGTCCATTTTCAGCCTCCTCCCTCTTTAGTGGTCCTCTTTCTCAAACCAGGTTTAGGGGAGGGTAGGTTATAGGCTTCAATCAAAGCCAAACTCAAGTCTTGGAGGTTATCTGTATCCACAAACTTCTCTCAAACCAAAGCAGCCACCCTAGTGACCCTCCAACAGCTGGACAACATCGAAGAATCTCGGCCCCTATCTCCCTCTGAAACAAAACTGAGAATTTCGTCCAAATTAGACTATTTGTCCATACTGAAAAAAGAAGAGATCTATTGGTTTCAGAGGTCAAGGGTCAACTGGCTGAAAACTGTGGATCTCAACACCCGTTTCTTCCATAGGATAGCCAACTGCAGTAGAAGAGACAATACCATCTCTATAATTAAGACTAGTAACGGCTACCTTGATCAGCCAGTGGAGATCGAAACATCTGTCATCGATTTCTTCCGCACTCTTTATATTGCTCCCTCTGGCCCTAGACCGACTATGTCTAACCTCGACTTCCTCACTCTGTCTGCGGACCAGGCAGCTTGGCTTCAACGACCTTTCCTCGAAGAGGAGATTGTTACAGCCATTGACGAGCTTGCTCAGGACAAAGCCCCTGGCCCGGATGGATTCCCAGTTGCCCCCTTTAAGGTCTTCTGGGACAGCGTTCGGCCCGACTTCCTTTCCTTTTTCTTTGAATTTTATCATAGGGGAATCCTCAACAAAGCCATAAACTCGACCTTCATCACCCTTATCCCTTAAATCGAGGGGTTTGAGGATCTCAAGGATTTCCGCCCTATAAGCTTACTCAACTCAACCTATAAGATCCTTGCAAAGGTTTTGGCCTCAAAGCTTCAAGAAGTCCTCGCCAAGGTTATCTCCCCCTCACCATCCGCCTTCATTAAAGATCGTCAGATCTTGGATGGGGCATTGATGGCCCACGAATGTCTCCATTCCAGACATCTCTCCAAAAAACCAGGCCTCATTTTCAAAATTGATTGGCCTATGACCATGTCAATTGGTCTGTCTTGTTTGAGACCATGGCTCGTATGGGTTTCCCGGAGCGGTGGTGCAAGTGGATAAAAGGGTGCATTTCTAACCTTACTTTTTGGTCATCATAAATGGTAACCCCAAGGGGTATTTCCTTTCTTCTAGAGGGTTGCGCCAGGGGGACCCTCTTTCCCCCTTCCTTTTTGCGATTTCGGCAGAGGTCTTCAATCGCTCCTTGGGTCGCCTATACCAAGCGGGCCTACTTTCTAGTTTTAGTTCTTCTAAAACTGGTCCAACGATGTCGCACCTCCAATACGCAGATGAAACCCTTGTGTTCCTTGACGCATCTTCTTCGGAAGTGGAAAACCTTAGACTCATTCTCAAATGTTTCCATTCAGCCACGGGCTTCAAGGTAAACATGGCTAAATCTAAGATGATGGGGGTTGCAATCACCCCTAATCTCGTTAGAAACCTCATTCCTTGGTGGGATTGTAAAGTTGAGAAGCTCCCGACCTCTTACCTAGGCCTTCCTCTTGGTCTGCCGACCTCTACCTAGACCTTCCTCTTGGTCTCGGTAAACCTAGGAAAAATCTCTGGTCTCATGTCATCAATAAGGTGGACAGGCAGCTGGCTGGTTGAAAAGGGAGATTTCTTTCTCAAAGAGGTTGGACCACACTCATCAAGGCCACTTTATCAAATGCACGGGTCTATATGATGTCCCTTTTCCACACGCCGGTTTCGGTGGCTGACCACCTTGAACAACTGATGAGAAATTTCCTTTGGTCAGGCCAAGCTGAGAAATCTAAGTTTCACCTCATCTCTTGGGACAAAGTTCTCCTCCCCAAAAACCAAGGAGGACTGGGTATTATAAACCTAAGGAAACACAATCTGGCCCTCTTGGGAAAGTGGTGGTGGCGGCTAGGCACTTTTCCGGACTCCCAATGGGCACAAGTACTTTCCCACAAATACAATATCCCAGGCCACCGCTGGATCCCTGAGACAAGTGTTCGACACCATGCCTCGGGGGTGTGGAGATCTATTTCCTCCACCCTAATCCCTTTCAGAAAGCACATCAGATTCTGCCCAAGAACTAGCTCAAAGGTCCTCTTCTGGTATGACCTTTGGATCGGCCACTTTCCCCTCAAAGAAGCTTTCCCTTCACTTTTCCTCCTCGCCCTTAATAGGGAGGCTACAGTTGAGGATGACTTTAGAATGGAAGGCGAGAGAAGGAGTTGGCATACCTCCTTTAGAAGGTCCCTTCATGAGGAAGAAGTCCCTACTTTCTTGTCTCTTTCGGTTTTACTCCACAACACCTTCATCCCACACCATGGCAGTGACAGAATTGTCTAGTCCCTGACCCCCTCGGGGACTTTTTCAATCCTCTCCTTCTACACCGCTCTCATACTGCCCCCCACCTTCCCTCATAATCCTATATCCACCCTCTCCCAGGTCTGGAAATCCATCGCACCTCCCAAAGTCAAATCTTCAATTGGATTGCGGGCTCCGCCAAAGCACTCACTGTGGACCATCTCCAGGGAAAAGGTCTTTCTATCCCCAATAGGTGCACCATGTGCCTGTGCCAAGAGGAGTCCAACAATCACCTTTTCCTCAATTGCAAGGTGGCTATTGAACTGTGGGGCTTAGTCCTCCAACAGTTCGGGCTTTTGTGGGTCACACCTCCATCGGTTAAGGCTATTTTAGCCCTCAACGTTGCTGCACATTGGCCTAAGGCAGGCAAGACTCTCTGGAATGCAGCAGTGCTTGCAACCATCTGGACAAGGACCGAGAGAAATGGTCGCATTTTCCAAGGGGTATATCTACCCGTCGATGCCCTCTTCTCCAAGGTTACCTCCTTAGTAACCTTTTGGGCTTCCCAAAACAGGGTATTCAGTGGCATTCCACATGTCTCTTTCTTGTCCAGCTGGGATATCATCCTCTACCACAACCCAAAGAAAGACAAAGTCAGATCTCATTGGCAACCACCTCCCCCAGGAGCAATCAAATTGAATTTTGACGATTGCTCGTTAGGCAACCCGGGCCACGCCGGTGCTGGTGGAGTCTTCAGGGATGACAATCAAAATATCATTTTTACTTTCTCGGAGTATCTTGGAGTCCATGACGCGCAGTATGCTGAATCGTTGGCTCTCCTTAGAGGCCTTCAGAACTTTGAACGATCTTGGGGTCCTAACCTTTTTGTAGAGGGAGACACCAGAAACATCATATCCTGGGCCTCCTATTCTGCCCATCATCCTTGGTATCTTTCATCCATTTATGATGAAATTTATCACATTTGCAGGGAGATGCAGTCCTCATATCTCGAGGACATCGAACGGGCTCGCCGACATGCTGGCCAAAGATGGAGTTGTGGCACACGTTGAAGAGTAGGGCCTTTTCCAGGCCCTCGTTTTGGTTCCTCTCGGCTTTAGACCCGCAACCCCTGTTTTGTTTTTTTTTTTGGATTTGTATATGAACAGTTCACAGTGTAAGGGGAGCTTATAACCCATTTTGGTTCTTTGCATACGGTCTCTTGAAGTGGTAAGGGGAGTTTATAACCCATTTTGGATTTTGTATATGGTATTCTGACCCATTCTTTTTTGCTGGGGACCCTAGGGCTCCTTGGACAACTGCTTGTATGTCTCTCCTTCATTTCAATATAAATTTTAACAGTTCTAAAAAAAAATTGTCAAGAAAAAGAATACATGGATATGAAATCACTAAGATCCTCCGTGATCAAAATTTGTTAATCATCACATTGCTTGCACTCTTTGAGTACAATTTGATGTATACTTTGTCCTCACATATATCGAGTAGTTTATCAGGAGTAAAATCAATGGATCTGGAATCACTAAGATCCTCGAGAATCACAGTTCGAGAATAAGAACAATAAAAGAAATAATAAAGCTACAGTTCAAAAATTATCAATCCCACGAAATTCGCAAGGCACAAAGTAAATTCCTTCTTTTTTCATGGGAGAGGTGAGGAGGGGAATGGAGTTCCTCCTTTACTAGGGAAAGAAGACATTTTAGAAACTTTGTCATTCTAAACAAAATTAGAATTTAAAAGTTTAGATTGGGTGTGGAAGAGCAGCCTCCCATTGTGTAGATGTAGATGCAGCCTCCCATTGTGCTCTATAGAAACAGAAGGGGGGGTTGAGAGGCTCTTTCCAAATTAATTGTAAGCAGGGGGGAGGCCAATGACTGGCATTTTGAACATGCACTCTAGAGCAAATGGGAATGGCAAGTATACCCAGGTGAATGCCATGGAATCCTTGGGTAAATCACACCATACGACAGCCTCACAGAGTCAAAAATATGGATAAATTGTACAATCCATGTTGTCAAACATTCAGTTCAGTCAATAAGGATTCTCATAAGAATGTTGTACATAATGATAGATCTTTGACTAATAACACCGCCAAGTCCAGCAAAAATATGAAGTACAACTCAAGGCAAAACCAGACTGTAGATATGCACGAAAAGCATGTAGAAAGGAAAGCAAGTTCCTTACTTATCTGTACCTCCCTACAAACATAGAAGAACCCTTCTACAATAAGCATATGTTAAAATAATTCATTTACCTCTCTACTACCAATGAACGTATATGCTGGACAGCTTCAGCCGAAACCTACCAGAAAGAAGAACAAGAAAAACATAGCCAAGAAAGGCATAAGGACCAGCATCACTCCATCCAAAAATGATATGGAAGAAAGAAGTATTAAAAGTGGATACACTAAATGCTCTCATGCATGTCTTCATTTTTTTTGTTAACATAAACCACTAATTTAGAAAAATCATCTGTAAAAGCAGAAAAGATTCAGTATTACCATAAGAAACAAGACCAACAAAGTTGTTCTTACCATTTAAAGACATAAAACATGTAAATATGAAATCAATAAACCATCAAGCGTTTCAAATCAATGCAATTTACAACTTCTTTGACATTCATGGAGTCTCTTTAAGAGCTTCATAGGGTATGAGCATATCTTTTCCATGTAAGCAGCTCTCATAGAAATCATACCACAATTGAAGGTACTTTGGAAACGAAAACACATTGAACTCACAGCTGCCAACGTCATCATTTTAAGCATTTTTAAATCCACAGAATATGTGCATGAATATCAGTCATCGTAAAAAAACAGAATAACCCACTGTTAAGATTAAGGTAGCGCAACAAGATAAGCCTCTATAGCACCAACAGAAACTATCAAGGCAGCTGACTTACCGAAGAACATAAAGAAAATGAAAACAATAGGCCAGAAATGCTAAAGACTATATGAACATTTTCATCTCAGAGTTGCAGCAAACGTGTTGTGGGGCCCAGCATATATTAAAAAACAGTCAGTGGTATTTATAAATTCTCACCTAATGAAGCAATCGTGGGTCAAGATAGATGGTCCAGCCTCCCAAAACCCCTAACACCAGGGTGTGACCTCATCACAACTAGATGGTTCTTCTGCAGAAAAAGAGATAATAGGATTACAGCAAGTATGTCTGTTCGTATACAGGAAAATGTTGATAGACCTCCCCCATCAGGGAGCTCCTTCACTTGGTCCAAACATGCACAAAGCCCCACCATGCCCAAGCTGGATAGATTTCTGATTTTCCCTGATCGGATCCCAGGAGTTCAACATATCCATCCCAACCTGCTTCATAACACCCCCATCCTGCTCTATATTGACCCTACTTAGAGCAGCAAAACACCCATCAGATTTGAGAGGATGTGTTTCGACAATGTAATGGTCTGCCTTTGATATATATGGTTGGAAGGTGTACTGATCATTGAAAGAGTTGCAGCTGCTAAGGGCAAAATTCAGAAAGTGGAGCGAAGAATATTCCGGTCACCTCAGGAAGCATTCTTTGTGAGATTTCCCAGCTGGATCTCAAAGAGGAGTAGAAAGACCACTCAGAGGCAGAGATGTTTAGGCAGAGGCAAATAAGAGTTCCAAAGGATCCCCAAACAAGAAGAGATCTTCAGGCATCAGAGGTCAGGAGTCAATGGCCACAAGAAGGTGAACAGAACATTTCACAAAATTGCTTGAGGCACAAGAAGTGTAACACAGTTGTACAGCTGAGAAAGGGTGATCAGATTCATGATGATCCTCAACAAGTGCAGTCGATCATTTGAACTACTTCAAGAAGCTTTTATCAAAGGAGGAGAGAAACAAGCCGAGGATCAAAAGCTTAAACTTCAAATCCTTCCAAGAACTGCAGGGACAAGATGGAACGCCCATTTTCAGAGGATGAAATTCACAAGGCCATCTATGACCTTGGCCAGGGTAAAGGTCCTGCCCTGATGGCTTCCCAATTTGTTGTTTAAAAAACAGGATCAAATTCAAAAGGCCATCTATGGCCTTGACCAGGGCAGAGGCCTTGCCCTGATGGCTTCCCAAATTTATTGTTTAAACAATTATGGAACATACTCAAAACCGTCTTGGTGATGTTTGCTAAATTCCACACTAGGGAAATAATTCAATGGGGTCTGAAGCGACTTTCATGGCCTTAGTCACCAAGTTCAAGGAAGCCTATGAACTGAAATATTTTAGATTCATAAGCCTTCTAAATAGCACCTAGCGAAGATATTAGCTTCAAGGCTGAGAGAGGCTTTTCACCTCTTGATTTCTCCTACTAAAGTAGCATTTGTCAAGAACAAGCAAAGATTGGATGGGGCTATGATAGCTCACAAATATATTCATGCACGAAATCACACCAAGAATCTGGGGCTCACAATCAAGCTTGAATGGGAAAAAGCATGTGATCGTGTCAAGTGTGGTTGTTCTAGATCAAATACTGCCGCTCAATGGAGGTCATGGATGGCAGCTTATGTCGGTTCCCCCTACTCGATTCTTATTAATGGCTGCCCCAAAGGTTTCTTCCCATACACGAGAGGTCTGCGCCACAAAGATCCCCCACACCCCCTTCCTCTTTGCTATAATGGCAGAAGTGTTTAACCAATCCCTTCCAAACCTATACGGTTTAAATCTCCTCAAAGTTTTCAATTCGTCAGGTAGAGGCCCAGTTATCTCTCATTACAGCATGCTGGTGACACCCATGTATTTCGCGGTGCGGAGTAGATAACTTGCTATTTCCAAGGTTATTTGAGCTGGCACGGGGTATGCAAATGAAAATTGATATCTGTAAGCATAAATGAGATGAGCTAGAATTGGTGAAAAGATTAGGGTGTGACATTGGAGCACTGCCAAACAAGTATCTTGGTTTACCTCCATGTTTAAGTAAACCCTGTAGGGCACAGTTGGATGGATCAGAGAAAGTTTTCAAAGAAGATTAACAGGTTGGAAATCAAGATTTTAATCCTTGGGGGAACGAATAACACTTATTAAGGCAACATTAATCTCTTAGTCTTCCATTGGTCAGTGTTCAAGATGCCAGAAGCCACCGTAAATAGCCTTGAGAATCTCATGAAAAAATTCCTATTGTCAGGTGCACAGGGAACTTATAGGATTAGAACCAGGTACGTAAACCCATTAAGAGTTTTGGGCTATACGCAAATTTAAGGACTGCAATACAGCCTTGCTATGTTAATGGTGGTGGCAGCTTGCTATCCCCAGGGACCACTTTTGGCAGCAAGTAATTCTAGGTAGATATGGTCTCGATGAATCAGGATGGTGATATAGGGCATCAGGGGCTTGGAGAGGCATAGCCTTTGCACATAGTGACTTTGCTTCAAGGATAAGACTTATATCAAAACAGGGGATAAAGTCAAAGTGCAGAAAGACATTTGGATGGGCGACTCCACCTTGGAAGCTCAGTTCCTAACTCTCTTTGCCATCACAACCGACCCTAATGCTCATATTCACAAAACTTACGAGCTACTTTTGTGTGGGCCCCCACTTGAAGGAAAAATCTGGGAAACCAGAAAATACAAGGGTTCACAGCTCTAACCAATTCCCTCAGCGAATGGAATATCCCTCAGAGGGGTATCAATAAATGTGTTTGGTCCCCGGCCCCGTATGGAGTACTCTGTTTCTTTGATGTACAGGCAGCTTAACGCCCCAAAACCACTCACTGTGGTGGCATTTGAGGCCTGGCACACCAAAATGTCGTGCAAAATCCAGGCTTTGAACTGGTTGGTATCGCTAGAAAAAACACTCCCAGTAGATCGAATACAAAGAAGAGAATGCCCATTCTAAATCACTTTATGATGCATAGTGAAGAGCAGTGTTTCAAAAAGCGCTGGGCGGCACCTAGGCAGTCGGGGGGTCCAAGCCGCCCAAACGCCTAGGCAGTCGCCCAGAACCTGAGTTTTTTTTTTTTTTGGGTTTCTCTCTCTAAAATAGCCTCTAATGGGTTTTAGGTTTCAAATTAACCTAAAACCCATAATTTTTCCCTTTTAGTATTAAAAAAAGGCCAAAAAATACCCTCAAGGAGCCGCATTTCCCCCCCTGAGTGGGGCACAAGCCCTAGGCAGATTCAGGCGAGTACCCAGGGATATCCGCCTAGGCGCTGGGTGGTCCGATTTTTGAAACAGTGGAGAAGAGGAAGAATCCAGCAATGGACCTAGGCGTGGCTTGAGACTATTTAGAATTCCCATCCCAAACTGTAGGTGCCTCTTTCTAAGCACCTTCCACTAGACCAGGGTGTAGCCAAAGACCATTCAAGAATCTTCATAGAACTATTACTCCTTTCCAGCAGCTGGACGTATACTTTGGAGAGCAACAGCAGTTTTATGGGCTAGAATTTGAAAGGAGTTTGTGAGATGGTCAAAGTCAGAACACTTATGAAGTTGAGGGGGACATACTACACTGGATCCATGGGCAGCATGAAGTCACGTAGGTGGATTCGTAGTCCTGCTCCAAATTCAAATTTTGATGGCTGCCATTCGGGTGGCAGGCAGCAGGCATAGGACACTCATTCAGGGAACACAATTCCTCGAAACTGTTATCATACTTGGGCCACAGACTCAAAAATGGCCGAGGCAAGATCGCTTCTACAAGGTTTGCCATTATTCAACCACAACTAGGGTTTTACCCTTGTAGTAAGGGGATTAGGCTAATGTCATCTGGTGGGCATCCAAAAAGTCCCCCCTTCCATGGTATTTAGAACAAGTTTTGGAGTCAGTATTTTGGAGGCACGCCAGATCTCTGTCAAGCATGTCTGGAGAGAGTCCAATATGGAAGCCGGCACTCTTGCTAAGAATGGAGCAGCTCAAGCTGGGTTCAGGTCACTACATCCTAATTCAGTTATACATGCTCTTCACTGGATACAAGGGTATTTTTGTAGAAAGGAGACTGCTTGTCACCAGCACACTCTGTAACTCTTTAGCTCATTATAAATCATATACAGTCAATTAAATCAGAGAAAAGTTACAAAGATCAAAGAGATGGGAAAGATGGAATATCAAAAGCCTGTGAGGAATAAGGATAGTCTTCCTTGATGTCAATCGAGGTAACAGGACTCTCTCATGCGCTACATATACAGTGAAAATGATTAAAGCATCCATAGGTGATTTAAGAAAAGAAAAAATAAAATTACATATTCAGTACAAAGAATACGGAATATAAAATGCAAAATAAAAAAAATGTCACAAGGTAGTAATGCCTTTCTTAAAAAGGGTTATAACCTTATCACCACAGAACATTCATGCTGGTAATATCTATTAAGAAGGGAGAAACCAATAGAAATAGTAAATAAAGAGAGACTAACTGACAAAAGATATGCCCCTAACATGGCAAAAAGTACCAACACTATTTCAGTGGAAGTATCAAAAGAAAAAAAAAACTCCAGAAACAACCATGAGCATATCAATATAAACAAGAATACTGCAATACATATCAATACCAACTGCTGTTATACTCACTAATATAAAAAGTACTCAGAGAGATAATTCTAAAGAAGAAACCCATCACTAGTGTATTTTTAGGAAATTCTATTACCATATGTTCATTGAAGGAAGTTTCAGAATCTAGTAATTCACAAAAATATAGAAGATAAGCATAGTAAATACCTACATGTAGACCATCAGTTCGCATATATGTTATAAGTCCAGTTGCTTCCTTGTCTGATAACTTAACCCCCTCATACAGCTTCTGAGCAAGCTGCAGTAAAATACGAAGAAAATGTAAGCTCCACAACTGATCCACAGTTCAGGACTAAGGAATAAATCCATCCACCTGTGGAAACAAGGCTTGGGGTTATGCTTGATATGAGAGCTCCTTAGACTAACTTCACACAGAAAAACTAGGCTTTGCTTGATGATTGTAATGTCAATATCATACATGTAGAGACACATTTTTTCTGATATATACAAAGGAATTTCAGTTTTTCTGAACTTCGGGATAGTCTACTGCTTTTCTGGAAGCTTGTTTTCTAAAGGTAAAAGGCCTTCTCTCCAGACACTAGCAAGGATGTAAAATGCAAAAGTTAACTCCATCCCACCATCTGAATTTGACATACATACGAGCAAAAGAAACCATTGTTGCCATGACAATAGTTGGAGGTTAGAACCAATGAACTTGGCAGAGTGTAGAAACGACGGAGTATATCATTATAACATCAAAGGTTCCAATCCCACCGCTCAGCAGGAACACAAAAAAAACCAAAAAAACAAAAAAACAAAAAAGAAAGAAAGAAACTGAGCAACTGAATACTAAAGGGCAGACCTAATTTCAGCCGCCTTTTCAAATTGCTTTATGGTGAAGGGAGCAAGGCATCAGAAATGATAGTACACAGTACTCGCTAGATAAGGGAGCTACAAATGTCAAAAGTTCAAACGAACAAAGCTGAATTTTTGAGTGAGAAAAATCAGCAGAACAAAGCGGAGCAGATGAGACAAGCGAGGAAGTAAGTAAGCCAAGCACACAAGTTTAAGCCATGTGGTCAAGTGGCACAGGGTTCTATTCTTCACATATTAGATTCTTGGGAATCTGCTATTCAAGATACAAAAAAACAAAAAATAAAAAGACAAATCAGGGAAAGTGTCACATTTCTAACTGACCTTCATAGTATAAGAAGCACTGAATCTCAATTTATTGGAAGCATCCTGCTGAAGAGTTGATGTTATATATGGCACTGGAGGGCTTCTAGAATATTGGCTTCTTTTAACATCCACCACTTCAAAACTTGAGGATCTAATCTTTTCAGCAATTCTTTCAGCCTCCATTTGAGAATTAACTAGAAACTTATCGACCTTTGTAGAATCAACAAGGGTTGGCTGAGCAGAAAATGATGAGTTACCCAAGACCCCACTTCGAGATTCAGCTTGAATGGTCCAATACTCCCGAGCTTTAAAATCTTCAATTTCAGTTTCTCTGTCACATATGAGGGCAAGAGCTGCAGATTGAACACGCCCAGCTGACTGGCAACCAGGAAGTTTCCTCCATAAGAGTGGTGAAATGCTAAATCCAATCAAATAATCAAGAGAACGGCGTGCCAGATAAGCATTCACAAGATCCATGCTTATGTCTCTAGGATTCTGCAAGGCCCTCTTGATGGATGACTCAGTTATTTCGTGAAAGACAACTCTTGCGACTCTGAGGTTAGAATGTAATGCATCTTGCTGTTGCAACATTTCAGCAATATGCCACGCAATTGCCTCTCCTTCACGATCAGGATCCGATGCAAGGATGAGATTCCTCGCCCTGAGATTTCAGAAAAGCATAGTTATTAAAAAGAAATGGGTAAAGCATATCATATTCGAAAACTATAGAATGACATATTCCATTGAGGTCACATTATTATAAAATAAAAACGGACAGTGATGGAGAGTGGTTCTCAAAGGAGTACACATGACATCAGTGGTAGGTCCCACTGTTTCTCATCACCATCTGTCCTTACATTGAATGGTGTTGATCCAGAGGATTTATGGTTTAACATGGTTCTTTTTCTTTTTTTATATGGTTATCAATTACTAGAGCATGACCAATGCTGTGTCCCACCTCTTTCTCTGTCACCTTCCATACTCCGATTGGACAGTTATGACACAATGAAAGATTGTTTATCATAGTTTCTTTTTTTTTAGTGGTTGTGATTTCCTTTTTTCATTGGACTAGAATTTATTTCCCAAAAGCCAAATCCATAAAATATGTTAGTAGACACATGACAAAACCCAATAGAATCACTAAAAGACTCAAGCAACAAAGAGAAAAAAGTTATGAATGTAGCGTACCCATTTAGCGCTACCTTAATGCTCTTAATATGCGTCCATGCTGACGAGGGAACCTCCCACACCATACTAAAGTCATCTTCAGGTCGAACAGATCCAGATCTGCCAGCCAAGTCTCTTACGTGACCGTGGCTTGGCAAGACTTCAAACATATCCCCAAGGTAATTTTGTATGGTCTTTGCTTTTGTGACTGACTCCACCACAAGGACAGATTTATCAGTAGGAGGATAAAAGGACACAAAATTTCTCTTGTGATGCTTAGTGCCATCCTTAGAAGTTGACTTTTGTGTTCTCTCACATAAAGGATAATCAATTGAAGGGGTATCTTCTAACTGAGTGGCTGTTGAACTTAACTGTTCGTGTACGGAATTCTTTTGGCCTGAAATTTTACGAACAGGGACCTCTTTCTTCTGGTTTTTCTTGACAACTGGATTTTCTATCTTTTTCTTAGATGATTGAGCTTTTGAAGCTGTGGTTTCTGATGAAGCAGGGGCATCAAATACTGCATTTTTCTCAACTACAGCTTTTTTTCCTTGTGAAGTTTTCTTTATATTGCCCCCATCGATTACACTGGATTGGTTATTGACACTACCAAGTTGGAGATTGGACTTCTTCCTCCCCGATTGCCGTTTCTTGTTGGGCAATGCTTCTACACTAGAGACATCAGTTCCATTCTTGGAGACACTTTCAGTCACAGATTTTACACTCTTCTTGCCTGAAGAACTAAGAACTTTGCTTCCATTCATACTGTCTACATTGACCTGGACATCAGTTTCAGAGGCTTCCATGGGTTGGGTAATAGCTTTACTGGTCTTTGAAACTTTCTTCCTCGTTTTCGGGTTGGCAACCACACGTTCAGAAGTACCAGGACCACTATTCAACTGAGCCAGCTCCTGTGCTTCAGGTTTTGAGTTCAACCTGCTTAACCCACCTTCCCCTGAAAGTAAACTGATCCGAGCTTTCACCTCACCATCAAAGGCATTCAATGGGCTGGTTTTCTTTTGCTTCATGTTACTTTCAGAGTTTTGAAACTGGAGAATTGAGTTGGCAGCGCGACCCGAATGATGCCGATCGGTGATACTTCTGACAGGGTGAGGATCTTTCTCAATTTTAAGCTGCAAATTCTTGGATTGATCTGAGACACTGTTGCTTTTCTCCCCGGGTTTTCTAAATTTATAGCGGATATTTGCATGATTTCCACAAATTGATGAAAATGGTATGGAAAATACTGGATTATATTGCAATCCCCTGCAAGATGACTGCACATTGCAGCAAAAGAAGTGCAGTATTGTAAGCCTAATGAGCTCAAAATAATCAAATCAACCAAAGAATAGAGGTAAAATGGCGACCATTTCACACACAGGCAAATGAAACAGAACAGAGTTAAGAAACAATTGAACAAGTTATAAAACTTCATTCTTCCAATCACACAAACAGACACACTACATTCTAATGCTTGATGACTGGATTGGTGCTAATGAAAAACCAACAGTTGATGAAATGCAGATTAAACATGGGAAAAACAAGCTAAGGTCTAATCCATCACTATCTAATTTCATTCAATTGTTTTCTGATATATTACAAGACTGAAATAAACACAACATGAAGCCAAATCATGTATTCGTTCGAAATTTTTAACTTCACCACCAGTAAATTGATAAAATCTCATAGCACTCCACCATGTACACCAAAATAATATCAAAGTAAAATAACCAATAAAGACGATATATTTCATAGATAATGAAACCCCCAATATCCATATTTTAGGATTTTTTGAATATCTTAGGCTTTTCAACAAACATTTTAAAAAATGTACTCTACTCAACTTTACCAGTGGCAATTATCCACAATAATAAAAAATCTACGAACTACAGAGAAAATGACTCAGAGAGCACAATAAGTTCATCGAGAAGACAAAACTCTATATACTGAGACTCACTGTGAGGGCCATTCGACAAATATATGAAGATGTCAACAAGTATCTGGTCCCAAACATCCTCTGCAGGTGCAGTGCCATCGAACCCAAGCACGAGTTTACAACATTTCACCTAATAAAACATATAAATAAAGTTTATTCACATTTACAAATGGTTCTACAAAGAAAACAATTATTAATACTAAAAAAACAAAATGAAATAAATGGCAGTCGTTTACCGCTAATATATATTTAAAATTAGAGGAATAGCACGAATCAGAATAAGGAGAATAGGGATAACAGCATTAAAATGATACACAGAACAATGAAGAATTGGGGCTTTCAGAAGCATTGAGACCGTTTTACCTAAGTATTAGTCTTTTCGAGGGGTACTTGTTTCAGTTGAGAGAGGAAGAGTAGAAATTGACGGTACCGCAAAGAAAAATAAACTATAACAGAAATGGTAAGAAGAGGAACATGAAGGAGAGTCAGGGTCTTATTAGGGTTTTAGTACTACTGTACAAGTTGATGAGAGAGAGAGATGCGTTACCGGCTGAAGAGAGAGTGAGGCGCTAAAATCGCATTAGGTTTGTGGCCCGAATAGCTTAAATTAGTAACAGTACATGAATGCCCTTATAGTGAAGGAATTTTTTTTTTTTTTTAATGAAAAATTTACGTCCACGTCTCGGAATCTTTCCATTATTGTTATGAAGAATGGGTTTTGGCCGGTGTTCGCAAAATCGAATAGGAACGTGATACGGTGCTTGGAGCAGTTAGAATTGGAATCAGATTAATTGGTGTGGTTAACCAGAGTAACCGATCAAGTAGATTTTATCTTTTTTGAAAAGGTCAAAAACTTCTAAAAAATAAAATAAATTTTAAAAATATTACCAAAAAAAAAGAAAAAATTACATACATATCCGTTATACTTTACGTTATTACAATTACACCAAATAGTTTCCGCTATTACACAACTGTTCGTTTTTTACCTTTTATAATGCTATTTTTAAAAAAAAACAACTTTACTTTTTTTCGGATGTTCAATATCTGAAAATGGGCTTCAAAAATAGCAATCAATTTACTATTTTCGGACGTTCAACATCTGAAAATTTCATATTTTCCGATATTGAATATCTGAAAATAGTGCGGACAGTGTATTTCACTTCGTCTTCTCTATTTTCTGCGTTTTTGTTCATTATTTCAGAGTGCTTTGTGTATTTTGTGTACCTATTTTATCTTCTATTGGCAAAGAATATTAGATAGTTCTTAGATATTGATTTTCAACAGTGCACGTTACAACATTTCTTAGATTTTGAAGCAATTTCTTATAGTGAAGGTATCTGAGTCGATTTTTTATATTTAGATTGCCACCTGATTTTTTGTTAGGGTTTATACTCAAGCATACTAGTTATTTCTTGTGATTTTGGTATAGATTGATTTAATTTGTGGCTCCATTGTGATTGAATTAGATACTTAAAATTTGGAGGTTTTGATAACTTGGAATTTTGTGGTCTCTGTAGAATTGTAAATTACTTAAATTTGGGGGTTTATACTCTTAGATAGTCTTAAGTACAAATTTGTGTTAGATTTAGTGATATTTTAGTTAATTGTTGATTTTTGTAGTTGATAGATTGAGTAGCTTAAAATATAAACTTTGTATGTGATTTATGATTCAAGTACATATTTACTTTGAATATTTTACAAAGTATTTAGTGAGTAAATTTACTTCGGGCATATAATTGTGAAGTGTATTTATCTATAATCTTTTTTGTTAACTCAAGAAAAAGTTGTGTATTGATCTTAGGGATGTTAATCATACATAGAAATGTCTTTCTATGTATGAATCAATGAAACATTTCATAAAATAGCACCATTTACAGACTAATCGAGTACTTCTTCTTTTGGATACTTGTCAAATAGGTTATGTGATTCCAATATTTTATCACTATAATTTGTCTAATTATGACTGGTATTCATATCTATAGTTAGGAAAATTGTTTTCATGTCTCTTGTGATCTTGATCCTTTCTAGTTGATCTCTAATTGTGGTTGTCTTAACAGACAAATCCTATATATTTCGTGACTAGATTTATGATTGAAACACATATTTAGTTTGAACATTTGAACATTGTATGTGATTTATGTGACTTATATTTTGGATAGAATAATGCATGACTAGATTTATTTGAGAGCTCATTCGATTTGTGTATTAGCATTGATTCTTTATGCAAATGCATTATGAGGTATTGCTGTCTCAAATTAATTCTATTACATTATCATGTTCTTTTGATAGAGTAGTATTAGGTTATGGTCTATAACACCAGTGTATGGTCTAAAATTTATAAATTTTTCCGTTTAATAATAGCATGTCATTATTGTTTGTTTGTTATCCAGTAAATATCTATATATGTAACCTTATGATTAACATGGTGACCATATGAGATTTCAGTGAATATGAACCATTTACATCCCCACGGAGGATACCCTGGAGGTCCTCAAGACCCTAGTTTGCTACAACTTCATCCTAAACATGCATCATATTTTAAATGGGAATGACAGGTATATGCATATATTCATCTGCCATTTCTATTAATTTGTTATTTTACAATAAATTGTACTCGGGTTCAAATATTTTATGAGAAGTACATGTATATGTATTGGGACTAACATGTTGTCTATTTATTGTATTTCAAGAAAAAGAATAAATTAGAATTAATGAGAAGATTTATCAATTAAATGAATGGAAATTAACAGAATAGCAAGTTGAATTAGTAAATGCCTCTGGGTTGGGTCCCGTGTCATCATTTGACCAGGCCGAATTAATCATCCTTTGGTCTTAGCTAATGTAGAGAGGTGGCGTTCTAAGACCAATACACTTCATTTCAACATTCATATTGGTGAGATGATACCAACGCTATTTGATGTATATGAGATATTATGACTGGCTGTGGATGGCGACCCAGTTACATGTCATCCTGTCAGTGACCTATGACAATATGTAGAAAACAATTTAGGTATAATCCCTATTGACAACTTGACAAGCCTGAGGCATACATGGTTGAAGGCGAATTTTAGGGAATTACCACCTGATGCAACCCTTGTTCAAGTTTATAGATATACTCAAGCATATCTGCTCTTCCTCATTAGTGTCACCATATTCGTCGATGCATTAGTTTCAACAGTGCCAACAAGGTACTTACAGTTTTTTTAAGATATTAAGGGAGCCAGCACATATGCTTGGGGTGTTGTAGCCCTTGCATTCTTCTATCTCTCACTTGGAAAAGCTTGCACTTTCAAGCGAAAACATTTTAGTGGTTCAGCTACTCTTATGCAGGTAACATTTTACTTTGCTATATGACATAAGCGTGATAGTTTAAACTGCTTTCCTAACATATTTAATATTTATCACATCTTAATCTATTACAATGTAGGTCGTATGAGCATATTATGAATATGAGGCCCAAACCGCATAGTATATCTCCAAATATGCCTAGGGCCAAAAGATGCGAGCCACCGAAGAAATATCATGGCAATCCACATAACCTAATGCCTCCCACCAGACAAGAATTTGATAACCTCCAACCTAATGAAGTTAGTGTATAATTTGATATTGATTACTTTCAAATGTATTTAAGTATTTGTAATTATTTTTATTAACCAATTGCATATCATATAACAGGTAATCTGGAATCCCCATTACAAGCATGATGAGATCATTTCAGATGAAAGGCATCAGGCATATCAAACTACAATGTGCATTATAACACTGATATTAGACGATATTGCAGAGCCGTACATGCCAGATTGAGTATGCCGACAACTTGGAGCTAAATAGGCCATTCCTCGAAATCCCTTGGTTGTTAGTAAGAGGGCTAGTAGATAAGGTGGACAGCGAGATTGGCGAAATGTGAATACAGACAAATCGCCCATTGATTGCCTCGCTATGACCGCATGATGCCTGAAATTGTAGAAGATACTAATAATGGATTGCCTTCAGAGGAGTACAAGGCCTGATACAACTTGGTGTCTCATCATCTAATACATAATGTTGCTAACCCACCCAAAGACATATTGCAACCTCATATCCAGGAAGAAAAAGATGTGGTTCCTGCTCATGAACCACAATATATAATGAGACCTCGAGGTTATGATGACTAGTTGGTACGTTTATATTGACCTATAAATTCTTATAGTATTTTATTTACCTATTAGTTATATGAAATTGTTTAAATATATTAATTATGTAATCTTGTTTGTGCAGGTTAGTGCAGATCAGACATCTACAGTCATGTTAGTAAAGGCACTTACACTTAGACATAAGTGGTATCCTGAAGTTTATAAATATGGGTGACGTAAAAGCCATGATGGAAATTTTGTAATGTCAATATAATGATGCAGGTGTACCTGACGAGGCCGGACATGATGGAGTGGGTGAAAGTAGTCGGGCTGTAGATGACCTAGCTCCATCCACACAACCTGCAGTTGAGGAACCCAGAAGATATAATACACAAAAGAAACAATATCAGCCTAAGAGAAGGCGACCTGTGTAATGGGGTCTTGACCGGTGTAATGTATTTGATCACTTGGTCATTTTGACCGTTGAAATGTATTGGTCATTTTGACCCACGCAATTTGTTGAATGAATTTTGTATTGGTCATTTCTACTTTCGCTTAAGTCTTTATTTCTACTTTCATTTAAGCCTTTACAGATTAATGGAGTTTGTGGCTTGTTGCGTAATAAAATTGTTTAATAATTTGAGTTTCTGAAAATAATCACTGAGAGGTGAAGACTGGCATGTGGCACATGTGTACGAAATTTGCGTATTAAAATTGTTTAGAATTTGAGTTTCTCAATGTGCACATATGACATGAACATGACAGGAAAATTGAACTAGGGAAAGTTGAACATGTGACAGAAAAATATGACTGTCACAATCCATGAAGTTCCTGGATTGTTACAGTCGAATGTTGAACATCCGAAATATGACGTTTTCGGATATGAAACATCCGAAAACTCGGATGTTCAACATCCAAAATTTTGACTGCTAAATCCAAGACAGTTATATTTTCGGATGTTAAACATGCAAAAATTTTGACTTTTCGGATGTCCAACATCCGAAAAGTGTTTAGACAACAAATTGATCATCTGGACACCAAGATGCATGGACATGAGAAAAAAATGGACTTTAAGGTTTGAAAATGAGAAAAAAATGGACATCAAGATATATGGACATGAGAAAAAAATGAACTTCAAGGTTTGGAATATTGAAATCATCTTTCTCGACACAAAGATTGACAAACTCATAATAGTTTCAAAAGGGGCTCCAAATTCTCCATTAGAAGATTTATGACAACAAAGAATTCCAATTGCACTAACACAATTTTGACAACAAAAACATAATACTCACTCCATTCATTAATTCATGAACTTCATAGTTCGATACAAGAATACAATATTAACATCAAGTAATTCACTCTATCGATTCTCTGCATGTCCTCTTATTATGACCCTCTACGTTGC